TATTACGGTTCAATTTCAAATGAATTCAAGTTGTACATGATTGAAGCTGTGATTTAGTACGACAGAGATGTGGCACCTATGAGTGAAACCATTCTCAAAGATTACGATAAAAAAATACTACTTTTGCCCTACTTGCAATGAAGAGGTGTACGAGAAAGCAACTGCATGTAGGAATAACCGTTGCCGCATCTATGGGTAAATAGTTTGTAAATTCTATTTCCGTCAATAAAATAGATTTTCTAAATTAAAGGGGAGCGCGCTAAATGGAGGCAGAGGGTAGAGGTGCACACTATGAAAATGGTTCTACAGTTATTTGATATTTTGCTCAAAAGTATTGAAGAGATGATCTCACTTCATGTAAGACTGCTTTCGTGATTTGTAACTATATTGTAAATTTACACAACTTAGGCTACTCCAAATGAAGATAGGCGCAACGTGAGGCTTTTCGACGGATACTACGGTAACATTGAAAGCGCCGAGCAGTTCAGAGAGAAACGGATAAGAGCGCTGCTAACTGTTTCGCTGGATGGATATAGAGCACGCAGACTTTCAAAGTGCGGATCTCATCTCTTACGTAGATTCCTATGTCATAAATGTCTCTCTCATGATCATATTCAGAAGAGAGTTATGGCCCCTTTATTTACGCGTTGAAGGATTGCCACCTAAAGAAGCTAACAACTTTTACAATCCCATAACAGCCTGAGCTATTTACAGTCGCTTGAAGCCTGGTGAAGCGCTGATGGAAACACTTTCAGCAGTGAATTTGTATGTGAGAGATATGCAACATTCTACAAACGCATACGCTACGATTCGATCTCGAAGCTCTTAAAGACACTCCACTAGAAGTCGTGATCGACGGAATCTCTTGGACCGTCGAAGTGCAGCTTTACAGATTCAGATTTTCCTGTTTGGGAGATAGATATGGCTCGATGTAGCACAGCAAATGAATTGAACCAGGTTTAGCAAGCACTATATGCCATCTCAAGATGGACCTCAAATTACGGATGCTCGAAATGCCACATCAAAGGCATGCGCATAGACAACCAACAGAATATGGGCACACGAGAATGATGACGATACTATTACGCGATCCCGAATCATATCTGAGTGACGCTCAAAAGCAAAGGAACGGCCTAACCAGTGAGCTTTGCCACACCTCCTAAGCACTTACACATCAACTCATATTACAGAAGCAACTTTCATGATGAAGCTCATGCATCCCTGACTTTTTGGGAGACCCCTCCACATTTGTTCGGAAGGGATAGCACGGAACAGACTGAGAGGTGCACTTTGCTGAGGATAGCAAGTGCAGCAAGGAATATCATGCTTTTCCAGACCTCTTCAGCCCTTCATCGATGTATCCGGGACTGAAAGTCAGTAGGGAGAAGCTGGAGAACATTAGACAGTGTCTTCTGAGAGTTACAAATTATAAGTACTCCAACAGCTTAATCTCATCATTAAAAGGTACAACTACATGCAAAGCTGCTTAGTTTGATGAGGTGCTGCCATTTTATACCAAATGTATACAATCTTTTATGACCCTTTTGTTCAGCTTGCCTCCGTGGCGTTTCCATTGGCAGTTGCTTTGATTCCATTACTTGCCCAATATTTGCTGCCGGATTACTGGGATATGACGTATTCGAGGCGCACAGCTATTTATCTGCTTTGGCTCACTTCGCCCTCGATCATGCTTATGTCCGCGGAGCGCGGCAAGCTCCTCGGACCTGGAGTTCTTTTTGTATCTCAACTATAGTTCATCTTCTCCTTTCTTCTAATGATAGGCTATTTATTGTTTTCACAGACATCTCGTCTTCTTTGAACAAAACCTACGAACACTGATATGGACACTGATATCTGCATCATGGATGCGTGAAGAGGAGTTCATTGGTGCAAAGTCATCTCAAATGTAGATGTAAGGCTGGAGGATGATAAAAGAGTACGCTCGAGAGAGAGATGTAGACTGCGGCACGGGCGCAAGCGGTCGCCTTCCAGCCGCTAATCCCGTTGTATTAACAATCCCACTGACGACGATGTGGACCACCGGTGGCCCACACGTTTTGAAAAGTCATATTATTTGTAAATCTGACAATTTTTCCACCTATCATTATTTCTTTCATTCTTTTGCACTCTTTCAATAGGCTCCGCCGTTCAAGAAAATGTCCATGATTATTCACAGAACAACTTTGCATTTCGTAAATAACCATAAAACCTTCCCAAACCGAAAGTGCTGTGCAATTTGGCGTCGTCCCACAGGCCGCCACGCAAATTAGGCTTCGTCGTCAATGGGTTGAAGGGTAGGTGGCTCAAATAGTGAATTACCAGCTTCATTAATGAAGTAACAATAAGAAAGTAGTTGTAAGCAAGTTTTGAATGTAACACGAGGTTATAGTGATACTTTGCAGAGTCACTTTTGAACTCACTAACATGTTCTTCTCTAGTTCGAAACCATATTAAACTATATCAACTAATTTGCTACTGTTTTGAAAACTAGTCTCCAAGCTGAATTCGCTAAAAGCACTATATTCACAACCTGGACTCAATATAGCAAAAAAGTAGCCGGAGATTAGTATCTATCAATCCAGCCTAAGCAGCCTCAATAGCCTGAACAAAATCCCTCGTTCATCTGACCAATAGCTGATGTGCTGCTAGATATCGCGATTCGCGGCCATCATTGCAGATAGTATGCGATAGTATGCACACTGCGCGGAGTCTGATTCGCTGCACTGAAAAAACTGGAAACGCATGAGCAGTGCACAGCGTAGCCGCTTTTTGTTCTGCAAAAAATGCACAATATTCTAGCCAAAACGACTATGCTTATGCACTATTCTCCGATCACTTCCAAGTCTGAAGGCTTGGCAGGCCATCAGTGAAAACAAATACAGCGGCAAGAAAGCGTCGGCCCACGAAAGCATGACAATTCTAAATAGACAAACTTAAAAAAGCAGTTGTGCAGCGCAAATTATGCAAACATAATTTTTACAACTATTTCGTCGTAGTTCGATTGAAAAGATCCATGTCAACTAACCATTTTGACAGTCCTGAGTGCAAATAGTAGACAAAAATCAAGAAATACTACGAAAGATGATCTTTTATGACAGCGAGAAAAAGAAGAAGATAAACTATAGTTGAGATGCAAGAAAGAATCAGAAGATAAACTATAGTTGAGATGCAAGAAAGAATCTACCTATTATAGTTGAAATGCAAAAAGAATGTAACAGTAAGTCCGAGGAGCTTGCCGCGCCCCACAGACATTAGCATGACCGAGGGCGACGTGAGCCAAAGTAAATAGCTGTGCGCCTCGAGTACGTCCTGGGATATCGGTTAACAATTGAAATAATTTGAAAACGCTGGATCTGACAACAACAGTGATAGAGATGATCCAGTATGGGCTCATTTGACTAGGGACGTATGGCTAGTCACAGCAGCGAAGGTCTTCACAATAAATGCCATGTAAGTTCTTTAAAGCGCTTGAACTCAAATATCAGATGGTTCTCTGTGGTGGTTCTTCCACCATGCCATGGACATTGAACTTCTACACCAAGGATCCCTACACCAGCAGACCTTAGCACCTTTTGAAAGTCATCACAGGAGGCAACTCAATTCTCGAAAAGTGAGCTAAACTCGCTTGCATTGAGTTTATAATAATATTCTTATCCTAGATACTTGCTCACCAAAAAGATTAGGAGTTTGTTCTACGAGTGCAGCGAGAACAATGAAAACCCGCTGTTTGAATCATTCAAAGAATAATTTGAAAACAAACACACAAAAAGGTTCGATCTTTGATGCAATATATCTGTGAAAATAGATATGCTCTTCAGGTTCCCCCTCGAAGTTCGCGTAAATGAACACTGCTATATTCCCAAAGCTAGTCGCATCGACTTGAAGGGTCTCCAAGAACCCGAACGAACAAGGATTTCACTCTCTTCAGATGAGCCATAGTAAGTACTACTCGGGATGTGTTCTTGGTTCATGTGATATGAAAGCTTCGCCTCTGTTCCACATTAGTCGTGCACGGAAAGGTCTACTACAGTAGCAAATATTAGCAGAGAAAGCTACATCTCTCCAAGACCTTGTTTACCTCAAAGGTAGCGAGTGGAGGATTTGGAGACTTTTGGATCCATAATATTGTTCATGTACAACCATGCAAACAATACTGTCAGGGTCCCTCTTGAAGAATTCCATATTTGTGACTCCTTTGAACACCTACATAACCTAGTCAATCACTGTAACCATCAGCAAACTATTAGCGGTCAGTCTCATGCGTTCCGTGCGAGAGAATAATAATTTCTTCCATGAAGTGACAGGTAGATGTGTGCGTTTTAGGAGTGCTTTTTTATATATGATGCATGTACATTAATAGTTTATGGTAATCACACTTGTTTCCCGCCTGTAGCCGAGGTTTCCATATACGTTTTAAAAATGTTTTGCCTTTTGGGATTCGGACTGTGAGTTTTGGACATAATTCACATATGTCTACAGACATTCCAAAGGTATTCTGCCCCCTTCATTCCCAATCCACATCCCTCCCTCCCACTGGATTACAGAGTGCAAGAGCTTTATGAAGCTTTGATCTCGACAAGCAGCATATTTACTTGCGTAAAGTTGAATGTTTCTGGCTAGCACATTAGCTTTACGCGTAATTTCGCCTACGGTTATATAGATGCCTCTTGCACTTTATAGTCCATTCCCCGCCCCCCCCCCCCCTCCCCTGGAACAGCAATGGACAATCGGGAAGAATAAAAAGCTAAATGAAAACTTAAACTTACCTGACCCCCCACCACTCTTACGACTTTATTACATCAATATTTTGCAACACAACAAAACTATGCAAAAAATTGCACTCGAACACACACTTGAATCACCTGAAGCACTTGAAGCTTCTTTCTCGCGAAGTTTCCATTTGTAGCCCCCTGATCATTTCTCATGCAAGCTACAAAAACTGGTGAGAAAGGAGTTCGAATGCTTTATCAGAACAGAGAATAATCACAACAACCAAATAATCAAATGTAATCGAAATCTCCGGGGCTGGCTGGCATCGCCTCAGTATTCACTTCGTTTTCAATTGAAAATCGCTCATGAGGGCGTAGCATCTGCAAAAGGTTGAGAACATGGGTAAATGAAGTATAACACCAACTGTATGGAACTGTCTGCTGGCGGCAGAATTTCACTAGCGCATTGGAGCACTTGTGCAAAGCTACGGATACGAACGTTTTCATCATAACCCGCGTAAGTTTCGACTAAATGAAACAACGATGTAAGGGGGTTTGCAAAGTCAGAATTTCATACCTTATTTGAGTCTGTTCCTGCATTAGTTTGTGCAACGAAATGCGTTCCCACAGTTTGTAGGAGCTCTCTCATTCTCTCTATAACTGTCGTGTTCACGCCGTGAACCAACATTAATAAAGTTGCCACCTCCTCAGACAATTACAGGCTCTCAGCCGGCAGCCACAAAGCCAGCGCGAAAACCCACCAAAAGCGCCGTGGCCTTATCGCGGCCACTTTCGCTTCCCGCTGAAGCCCTCATAGCAGTCCGCCCGCTGCCCTTTAGCCTCCCGCTCACTGCCATATTTGTAGCCCGCGATAAGGCACGGAGCTTTTGGTGAGTTTTCGCGGTGGCTTTGTGGCTGCCGGCTGAAAATCTTGTCTGTGTAGCTTCTTGTTATGCTTGGACTACAACGCTGTAACTTCAATTAATTCATTATAACGATGACAAGTAACAATGAAGAACATAACCATCTGGAGATATGACCACATGGAGAAATAAATACGGAATGAACGAAAGAGATGCTATGGCATCATATGCACCGTTACAGTCCAGATCAAATCAAATCATCACCAAATTTTCATCTGATGATGATTTGACTTGATCTGAAGTGTAACGGTGCGTATATGATGCCATAGCATCTCTTTCATTCATTCCGTATTTATTTCTCCATTGGTTATGTTCTTCATTGTTACTTGTCATCGTTATAATGAATTAATTGAAGTTACAGCGTTGTAGTCCAAGCATAACAAGAAGCTACACAGACAAGATTTTCAGCCGGCAGCCACAAAGCCATCGGGAAAACCCACCAAAACCCACCCACCAACCCACCAAACCCACCCAATACCTAAAATAAAGCACTGAATGATAAAAAAGTTCAGTATACATCGCGATTGATATGCATGCCTACAGCTAAGCATTGCATTTGAGAAATTAGCTTACTGACTATGTGACTCCTATTACGCGTACGATCAAATACCTGTACGAATGCTATAAATAAGCAATCCCGTAACATATATGACCAAAAGCGATAGCACCGGCTACACATTAGAGAAAAAAGGACGCGAGTAACACTTAGGTGGATAATCAATAACCAAACATGTTTTTTGGCGTGTATTTGCGTGTGTATGTATATGCAATTCCACAAAATAGTGTTGCAAAGTGCTGCAGGCGCACAAAGGTTCTGACCTATGTTTCATGTACTCATAATTAGTCGACTGTCATTTAATCGGAAATCCCTCATGATCATCCATAGATTCTATTATCAAGCAGGACTTGATTACAGTTTCCTTGGCTTCAAACTGTGTACGTATTGTTGCGACATTGTCAGTCACCTACTCATAAATGAAGCGTTGAAGAGAGTTTTAACCAAGAGTCAAATTTCTTTCTAGGAGGGGAAACAAACTAACTAAAAACTACCGAATTAGACTTATCAAAATGACTTAGAACGCGATTTTCTCCAATTGCCGTAATGTTTCTCATAATAAACATACGAATTCCTATTTTGGTCGTGATTGGTTCATTATGATCACTGAGCTTTGAGTTCGAGTACTTTTTTGAATTCTCAGTTACAGTGTAAGCAATGCGAATCACTTGAATTCCCTGCCTGTCGAGATACAAACTCAGTAAGGCATCTTTAGCAATGTCTGTGCATTACAGCAGCTACGCATGTACGCAATGCAAGAGGGCTAGAATAAGAGGGGATATTCCACCTTCCTAGAAACGGCGTTTGAGCCAGTCGGAAAAGAATAAACATGCAGCTCGATGACGAAAGACTAAAATAAAACATGCAAATATCATAGAAAATATGGTTTTTATATTGATTGGAGCCAGTAAAAGTGATATTACATGAGCCTAGGAAGACAAGTAAAGAGAGTACAGCGCGAGTAACATTGTAATTTATTGAAGACAAAGATTAGGCAACAAAAAATGAAAAAATGACGCAAGCCTAAACTGCCAATCTCGTCTGCCTGCACATCTAACTTTTCTGGTGCGATCAACAATGTCTCGAGAGGGCAACGATATGGCTTCCAGTTGGCAGCCACAATACAGCGTCATGAATTAAGGTTGCCTTCTCATAGCATTGATGCGGCCCGCTGACAGAAATCCTGTATTCACATCCCCATCGTTTCACGGTCGCTGCCAGCTTAACGGAGTCGCTGCCTCATCGTCGCCTTTTGGCTGCTTTTGTAGGAATGAATGCGCTCTGCAGCTATTTTCTGACTCATGGAAGATTATAGCTGCCCGCTGGTAGCCCGTCGCTGCCCGCTCACCGCCATTCCTACAATGTCGTCGCCCGCTCACTGCCACTTTTGCAGTGTCGCCGCCCGCTCAGCGAAACTGCTATTTATCGCCGCCTTACCATAGCCTTTGATTGTCTGAGTCCGAGATCAAGCACCATTCCACAGCAGGATTAGCAGACCTCGTACCAGAGGAGGGCGAGCTCACCTAAACATTGAAAACATGCAGCGGAAATTGGTAGATACTCAGTCAAGTACTAATATATGTCTTTGACAAAATGGCAAATCTCTGGACTGTCAATAACATTGTCAAGAAGAATACATGCTTTGGACAGAACCAGGGCCGGCACGAGGTGGGCAAACGGTGTTTTCCAAAACGAATTCCCCTCTGATCCCAATATTTTTAACGAATACCCTCTTGAGCCCAAAAACTATGCTTTGTGCTTGTGCAACGAGAGCACCGGCCACACTTCGCCTAAACGCGCTCAAAAGCGCTCAAAATGCTCGAATTACTCTAGTCACTCCTCACTTGTATCAAGATAGAAAACAGGAAGAAGAATAAGCAAGAAAAATGATGAAGGAATGAAGAAATATCAAAGTAACGCAATCATAGGACTGAAAAACGCCGTTCCCGCGCGTTGCCACAACCTTCAGTCACACAATTTTTTTCAATGATACTTCTAAGTTAAGCCCTGTAGGCCCGTGTTCATGCACCTGCCAAGTTTCATACCGTATGTACATCTGTATGCTGCAAACGAGCCATTTGAATTCACATCTTCATTTACCACTTTTGCAAGAATTTTGGAAAAAATGCTTATTACACCTCCTATTCACATGAGTTTTTCATAATATTTCATACTTTGTTTCTACTAGCCTCTCTTCGTTTGCTTACGTAATTTGGTGCTATATCGTTACGCCCGCGTTGAGTTGATCATGGAATCATGCTGTTCAGCGGCATCGCTTATGCGGCATCGCGCACGCGGCAATTAGCGGCGGCGCGGCGTAGCGCGCGCGAACTCTGCTGTGCGTTGAGCTTCTGAAAACTACTTCCCAATGAATTAGATGTATAAGGTAATAAGAATGACTCAACCTTCTTCTGCTTGCACTTGGAATCTTCTTCCGAGGCTCCGCCCCGGACCCCGCAAAAACGATTTCCCCCTTGCTTTTTCCACCAAAAACGATTTGCAGCTTGTCATTTGCCCACCCGTGCCGGGCCCTGGACAACGAAGCACCGTACACCCGCTCGATTCGCGGCAACAACGCGAAAATGCGAATTTGCTACTTTTGGTACGCAGCTGAATCTGCGCTTGTTGACTGACTATTCGTCGCCCCGCACACATCTCGAGTTTTTATTTACGTATTTCATAACAAGAAGTGTATATTGCGATTTCCAGCTTGTCATTTGTCCACCTCGAGCCGGGCCCTAGACAACGCCGCACCGTACAGCAACAACGCGAAAATGCGAATTTACTATTTTTGGTAAGCAGCTGAATGTGCGCTTATTGACTGACTATTCGTCGCCCCGCACACATCTCGAGTTTATATTTACGTATTTTATTACAGGAAATGTATACTGCGAAGGCTAATGCGCGCACCCCGCCAAGGACAAAGCGCGCATCCGAGCGACTTTATATCAAGGAGAGGACTCCGCTGCAGAATGTATCGCAGCGTATACTGTAAGTGATTTCTTCTACTTTTGCGAGTTATGAAAGTTATGAAAACACTTTCAAGAATCAGGAGCGAATTTACGAAGAATCTGACGTGCCGGCCGTGGGGGTGGAAGCAGAAGTCCCGGAAGATATGTGATAATCCAACGTACGTCTTCTGTTTAGGGAACGTTCATGAGCGTCGGGAGTTCATCATGGTGGAACCAACGCCTGTCGCAGAGCCACCAATCACGTCACTGTTCGAGTGCCTCTCAAGAGGCATTATCCATCTGAAGGTCGCAAAAGTAATGGCCACGAAAATGAAAGGAGGATCATTTGATCAAGCCGCACTTGATGTAAGTTTTCTTTACGCTCTACAAGCCAGTGATCGTATTATGGTTCTTATTTCAGGAATTAAAGGCAGTACAATACCGCTCATAATTCGTCAAAAAAGTCGCCGGACTGCGGCGCACTCCGCCACACTCCGCCACAGTGCGCCGGAGTGCGGCAGAGTGCGCCGGAGTGTGGCAGAGTGCGCCGGAGTGCGGCAGAGTGCGCCACACTCCGCCGCAGTGCGCCGAAATGATCTTAGCCATATCTCGGCTTCAGAATGGACGAATTCTGAATCCGAGGACACCGTTCGATTCAGCTCGACGAGACGCATCATCTTATAAAGTGCGGTTCATAATTATACGAACACCCCAAATTTCAAAAGTTTTTGGATTTTTTGGAAGAAACTCAAAAAGCCGTTGGTACCACGCGATAGAGCACAACCGAAAACGGTATACGGTTCACAAGAATGGAAATCGATGTCAATCTTAGGAGTGTTTTTGCGTCTAATGCGAATTTTTAGCGGTTCATAATTATACGAACACCTCAAACAAAGGTCCATTTCTCATTCAAGATTGCAATCTTTCGGATCCCAATTTCTTGCAGAGTTACAGTAACAAAGTCTGACATATCTGCTACACACTGAACCCAGTGCAGCTCAAAAAGAGGATCGTTACTTTTTTCAGATGGCTCTAAATGATTTTGGAGTGATTGCGCTCCAAAAGCATACGTTCTTCTGTGGTTTACGCACTCTAATTAGCTTGTATTAAGGCTATGAGATAAAATAAGCTCTTTCGATAGATATTTTGTCTGACGCTTGGAAAATCTATGCGTTTTCGTGCTGTTTTTCAACCAAGTTCCAACCTTACCCTAGAGTTAGCACGATTTCGAGCCTCAAAACTCAGCTTCTCTCTCGCGCAAACATTTGATATGAAGCAGCTGCATTTCACGCATGATGTTGTATCCGTGCCAACTTTTTTTGCGTTTTTTGTAGAACTGATCTTGAAGCTATGGAGCAAAAAACCAAATAAAGTTGTGATTGCAATAGTGAAAACAGTGGTTTTGGTGAAATGACGTCTGCGTGGCCAAAACAAGCGCTCAACGCTGCTGATTTTTTTCTAGCCAAATACACAGTCTTGTGAACTACTGCATACCATCTGCTTACTTCATTGTAGGGCTTCCGAAGCTGAGTTTTGAGGCTCGAAATCGTGCTGACTCTAGGGTAAGGGTGGAACTTGGTTGAAAAGCGGTACGAAAACGCATAGATTTTCCAAAGGTCAAACAAAATATTTATCGAAGGAGCTTATTTTATCTCATAGCTTTGGTATAAGCTAATTAGAGTGCATAAACCACAGAAGAACGTATGTTTTTAGAGCGCAATCACTCCAAAAGCATTTAGAGCCATCTGAAAAAAGTAACGATCCTCTTTTTGAGCTGCACTGGCTACAGTGTGTAGCAGATATGTTAGACTTTGTTATTGTAACTCTACAAAAAGTTTGGACTCGAAAAATTGCAATCTCAGATGAAAAATGGACCTTTGTTTGAGGTGTTCGTATAATTATGAACCGCTAGAAATTCACATTAAGCACAAAAACACTTCTCAGATTGACATCGATTTCCATTCTTGTAGATCGTATACCGTTTTCGGCTGTGCTCTATCGCGTGGTACCAACGGCTTTTTGAGTTTCTTCCAAAAAGTCCAAAAACTTTCAAAATTTGGGGTGTTCGTATAATTATGAACCGCACTTTATATGAAGGTGAACGTCTGTTTGTCTGTTTGTCTGTACGTATGTTCCGAATATAAAAATCCATTTCTGAACCGATCCGGACCAAACTTGGTACACATACACTTCGGGCACCGGCGGGTGTCATAGGCTACTTTTCGTTATCGATCGATATCGATTTTATCGATTTTTATCGATTTTTTTGCAGAGTTCACCTACGGGGCTGGGAGTTTGCATAGGGGGGTAATCGAGCATGGGGATTCCGAATACAATATTAGTTTTCGGGATTATCGATTACTTTTATCGATTTTATCGATTTTTTTGCAAAGTTTGAGCTACGGGGCTGGGAGTTGGCACAGGGGGATAATCGAGCATGGGGATTCCGAATACACTATTAGTTTTAAGGATTATCGATTGCTTTTATCGATTTTTTTGCAAAGTTTGAGCTACGGGGCTGGGAGTTTGCACAATCACAATGGT